AAAACCAGCTCCCTGCTGGACCTGCTGCATTATGGAAGTGCCAGCCAGGGRTGTCACCAACCTGTGCCCCAGGAGCCAGCGGCAGAGCCATCCATCCACACCGCAGCAGTACCAGGTAGAGAGACAGACTGGTTCCTCAGCGTGCCCTGTCCTGATCTGGAGCCAGGCGTGCCTGGACAGCATCCCTCCAGCACGGGGAGGAAACAACAGCTTCCCCTTCCTGCCCTCRCTGCTGGCACAGCGCTGGGCACCAGCAGGGTGAGGGTTTGCCASTCACACGCACTGGCAGGGAAACCACAGCGTTCTGGGTGAAGCACTTCTGGAAACGTAACACGAACATTTCCTGACCATCCTGGCCAAGGAGAGCTGGTGTATGGGAAGCCTCAGAGCAGAGCAGAACCCAACCCWGGTGTGGTGTAKSKCTGACCAAGCCCCACCATCYACCAGSAGGGCTTCCATCCCCAAATCCTTCCCATTATCCATCTGAAGCATCACCTACAAAGATGACACAGCACCAAGGTAACAGTGTCACTGCTGAACCCTCCCTCCCTGCTCCAACCAGGCTCCCACCACTCCAGATTTCATTTCCCATTCTCCCCACGGTGAAACCTTCCCACAGCCAGCGAGGAGCTGCAAGGTTTCACAGCACATCTCTCCTCTCCACCCCCAGAAAGGGAGCACACTCCTGCAGCAGGAGGTGCAGGCTGAGCTCAGCAATTAAAAGCTGTCACTTTGAGGAGCCCAGCTCGGCCACTCGCTAATAGATTGCCACGTCTTAATAACAGCTCTCAACAGAGACTTAGAGGGAGATTTAGGGAATAACTGCCAGGCTTTGGGAAAAATTATAAAATATGCAGATTAGTAGGGAGAGGATTTGGACGACTTTTTCCAACTGCCTTTCATCAAAAAATTTTAATTCTGATGGCAAAAAAAAAGGAGAAGAAAGAAAATATTACTTGGATACAATTCAAGCAGCTGCCTCTACAAAGCCCACGGTCCACAGCACTGGAGTGAGCTTGTGCAGGCAAAAGCCAGAGTTTCTCCTGCTGTTTAGAGCCAAGCCTGCCAAAAGGGTTATTCAAGAAAATAAATAATTGCATTCCCCTCATATGCACTCTGTCACCTGCCTCGGCCGGAGCGCGGTGAGCTTGGGGACAGSCAGGGCTGTGTGCAGGGACAGCAGTGTCACAGGACAGTGCCAGGGAGCCACAGTGCCATTCACCCAGCAGTCTGGAGCACTGGGGGATGCCAGGAGGGGAGCACAGACCCACCGTGTCCCTCCTGGCAGCTGGCACACACAGCAGCACCCGGGACACTGCGGGCACCAGGGCTGGGAGCAAGGAGAGGATGGGGCATTCCTGAGCATCCCCTGAGGACCAGCCCCAAAATGTGCATCTCTCCTCGCTTCAAGCTTCAGTTCTGAGCTCCTGTCCACTCCCCCAGTGCCACCCAAGCCCAGCAGAAAGTCAATCTCCCCCAGCAGAGCATCCAAACCAGATTTCACCAGAGGAGCTCAGCTGGAACACAACAGCCAGGGAGTCAAACACAAATCAGGAGGTACAGACGAGGCTGTTCTGCCAGGAGCATCCCTGGAGCAGCTCTGGGTGCCCACTGCAGCCATGGAGAGTGTGTGGTGGGCACTGCCAGGGCAGCCAGGCTCTGCTGCAGCCACAGAGGGCAAAGGGCTCTGCTGCAGCACTGCCCTGCCCGTGCCACACACAGCTCCACACACAGAATGCATTTCTGACCAATGCCTCGATGGAACCCTCCCTCCCATGTCACACCTTGCATAAAGCCCTGGCACATACTGCCAGAAGCAGCAGGTCTGAAATCGAGGCATTAGGAGGGCTAATGGCTATTTTCTTACATTGCCCAATCTTAAAAAGCCCAACTGCACGCACATGGGAGGTTACCTAAGGCTTGGCATTTCACTAAAAATTTTTCTTTGAAATGGGAATGATTGGAAGGCATCAGGCTAGGAGCAAAAATACCCATGGATGCCATTAACAACCCAACATATTGATGACTTCAAGCAATTGGAGCATTACATAGAGACAGCAGAATTATATTTGCAGTTCCCAAATTCTCCACCTGAGTTCAGCCAACTGTCCCTTCGTGCCTCTTTCGCCTTCTCCCACAGAAATATCCCTCCCCAGCACAACAGCTCCTGCCTGCCCTGGGRAGAGATTCCCCAGCTCCTGGGAATCCATCACATCCCCATGTACAGGATAAAAGCTGCAAATCTGGGTAAAAATTAACAAGCCTGGGTAAAAATTAATGGAGTTACACTGAGTTCAACAGGAGAGGTGAACCTGTGCTCTGCAGTCACTGCTGACAAGAAACCACTTGAAGTGGACTATTTCTAGGGCAGCTGTAAAACAGAGTGGTTAATTATATCCCCCATATGGAAAGCAAGTGTCTGTGCTACCTTCTGGCCCCGTTTCCAGAAAAAAAAACAGTGGCAGAAGAAAAAAAAAAAAAATACCACCACCATCTGATTTACTACAGCTTCAGAAAGCACCAAAACCAGAACTAACTAGTAAAATAACCTCTCCTTTCATGTTTGCTGAAGATAACTTTAAGCCACAAAGTAAACACAAACAACTCATAGAAAACAGATCTAATGAAAACCACAGGCATTTAAAAAAAAATCATCTGCTAAACCCAGAGATAATTATACAGTACAAAGCTCAAATGTACAGTATAAAGCTCAAACGTTTGAATGAAATCACAGCTTATATTAAATATATGCAAAAGAAAGATTAAATCACATTACTTTGCTTCGATCTCATGAATAAACTCTAATTGCTCCCATATTGTTCCATTTATCATAAAAGTWGTAGAGAAGGCGACCTGATTTACAAAAAAAAAGCTTGCAAAAATAACAGCACCTCCCAAAACAGCCTGTTCTAGCTCCTGTTTCATTTAGCCTCAGAAGAACAAAGGAAAATGCATCCACAATTTTAAAAAAGCCTCCATAAATTTACCATAACCTCCCCAAAACATCTATCAGCCTCAGGAAGTCGCTCAGCACATCAACCTCATTGCCCAACCGATATATTTTTAATTGAAATTTCTTCCTGCCAATTTTTCTACGACTCTGTCCTTAGTAATTTCTATGAGGGTACAAGCAATGCTTTGAGAATACCCTYAATAATTCAGCAGCTCAGACTGTGCTTACCCACACCGGCCACATATTTAGGCAGAACTCCTGATTTTTTTTTTTAGAGAGATCACGATGAACCCCACCACTGTCCCTATGMCTGCAGGAAAGGGTCAAAAACATGCACAGACCTTGGGGAAAAAACCAAACAATCAACATTGAATTGAAATGCTGAGAGCTCATAGGTCTGAGAGGAAGGGCTGAAGGYGCACAGAGCTCCAATCTCATTTCCCACTGGATGGGACTGTGCTGCTCATCCCTAAGCAGGAGGGGAAGGCTGGTACCTTGGGAAAACAGAAGGTTGAAATTTAAACCAGGATCCCTTCTCCTTCACTGCAGCTCCCACGGGTATTTGAGCCAGGGCCAAAGCACAAGGAGTGAGCGCTGGGTTAAAGCAGCTCCAGCCAAGGTGGGGGCAGCAGGGCWACCATGAGAGCCCCCAGACCAAAATAAAAACCAACAGCAAAAGAGGAGTCATAGAACAGAGCCAGGACCTGGGGGATTTTACTCCAGTCAACTGTGATGGGCCAGCAAGCAGAGCTCACCCTGGGGATGAGAA